CCACTGAGTGACCACTGAGTGACCACTGAGTGACCACTGAGTGACCCCTGAGTGACCGCTGACCCCTGAGTGACAAGTGAGTGACCACTGAGTGACCAATGAGTGACCACTGAGTGACCCCTGAGTGACCCCTGAGTGACCACTGAGTGACCACTGGTGAGTGACCAGTGGTCACTCCAGGACACGGACGGTCAGTGAGTGACCAGTGGTCACTCCAGGACACGGACGGTCAGTGAGTGACCAGTGGTCACTCCAGGACACGGACGGTCAGTGAGTGACCAGTGGTCACTCCAGGACACGGACGGTCAGTGAGTGACCAGTGGTCACTCCAGGACACGGACGGTCAGTGAGTGACCAGTGGTCACTCCAGGACACGGACGGTCAGTGAGTGACCAGTGGTCACTCCAGGACACGGACGGTCAGTGAGTGACCAGTGGTCACTCCAGGACACGGACGGTCAGTGAGTGACCAGTGGTCACTCCAGGACACGGACGGTCAGTGAGTGACCAGTGGTCACTCCAGGACACGGACGGTCAGTGAGTGACCAGTGGTCACTCCAGGACACGGACGGTCAGTGAGTGACCAGTGGTCACTCCAGGACACGGACGGTCAGTGAGTGACCAGTGGTCACTCCAGGACACGGACGGTCAGTGAGTGACCAGTGGTCACTCCAGGACACGGACGGTCAGTGAGTGACCAGTGGTCACTCCAGGACACGGACGGTCAGTGAGTGACCAGTGGTCACTCCAGGACACGGACGGTCAGTGAGTGACCAGTGGTCACTCCAGGACACGGACGGTCAGTGAGTGACCAGTGGTCACTCCAGGACACGGACGGTCAGTGAGTGACCAGTGGTCACTCCAGGACACGGACGGTCAGTGAGTGACCAGTGGTCACTCCAGGACACGGACGGTCAGTGAGTGACCAGTGGTCACTCCAGGACACGGACGGTCAGTGAGTGACCAGTGGTCACTCCAGGACACGGACGGTCAGTGAGTGACCAGTGGTCACTCCAGGACACGGACGGTCAGTGAGTGACCAGTGGTCACTCCAGGACACGGACGGTCAGTGAGTGACCAGTGGTCACTCCAGGACACGGACGGTCAGTGAGTGACCAGTGGTCACTCCAGGACACGGACGGTCAGTGAGTGACCAGTGGTCACTCCAGGACACGGACGGTCAGTGAGTGACCAGTGGTCACTCCAGGACACGGACGGTCAGTGAGTGACCAGTGGTCACTCCAGGACACGGACGGTCAGTGAGTGACCAGTGGTCACTCCAGGACACGGACGGTCAGTGAGTGACCAGTGGTCACTCCAGGACACGGACGGTCAGTGAGTGACCAGTGGTCACTCCAGGACACGGAAGGTCAGCAGTGACCAGTGGTCACTCCAGGACACGGACGGTCAATAGTGACCAGTGGTCACTCCAGGACACGGACGGTCAATAGTGACCAGTGGTCACTCCAGGACACGGACGGTCAATAGTGACCAGTGGTCACTCCAGGACACGGACGGTCAATAGTGACCAGTGGTCACTCCAGGACACGGACGGTCAATAGTGACCAGTGGTCACTCCAGGACACGGAAGGTCGGCAGTGACCAGTGGTCACTCCAGGACACGGAAGGTCGGCAGTGACCAGTGGTCACTCCAGGACACGGACGGTCAGCAGTGACCAGTGGTCACTCCAGGACACGGAAGGTCAGCAGTGACCAGTGGTCACTCCAGGACACGGACGGTCAGTGAGTGACCAGTGGTCACTCCAGGACACGGAAGGTCAGCAGTGACCAGTGGTCACTCCAGGACACGGAAGGTCAGCAGTGACCAGTGGTCACTCCAGGACACGGAAGGTCAGCAGTGACCAGTGGTCACTCCAGGACACGGAAGGTCAGCAGTGACCAGTGGTCACTCCAGGACACGGAAGGTCAGCAGCGGGGACCTCTCGGGCATGAGGATGAAGCGGAACACGGTCGGGACGTCCTCGCTGGACACGGCCTCGATGGAGAAGCTGCTCAGCACCTGCTTTGGGGCAAAACCGGGAGGTTTTGGGGCAAAATGAGGAGATTTTGGGTCAAAACAAGGCTTGGGATCAGCCAAGGATGGTTTGGGGCAAAACGTGGAGGTTTTGGATGAAAACCAGGAGATTTTGGGTCAAAACAAGGTTTTGGGTCAAGCCAAGGAGGTTTTGGGTCAACCAAGGGTTTGGGGCAAAACCAAGAGGTTTTGGGTCAAATCGAGGAGATTTTGGGGCAAAACGAGGGTTTGGGGTCAGCCAGGGATGGTTTGGGGCAAAACCAGGAGATTTTGGGGCAAATTGAGGAGGTCTTGGGTGAAGCCAAGGGTTTGGGGTCAGCCAAGAACCGTTTGGGGCAAAACCAGGAGATTTTGGGTCCAAACGAGGAGGTTTTGTGTCAACCCAAGGTTTGGGGTCAGCCAAGGATGGTTTGGGGCAAATCGAGGAGATTTTGGGGCAAAACAAGGTTTGGGGTCAGCCAGGGATGATTTGGGGCAAAAGGAGGAGATTTTGGGTCAAGCCAAGGAGATTTGGGTCAAGCCGAGGTTTTGGGTCAAGCCTAGGTGATTTTGGGTCAAGTCAAAGTGGTTTCTGGTCAATCCAAAATGTTGGGTCAAGCTCAGATGTCAGGAGCGAGTGGAGATCTCATTGGGTCGAGCCAAGACAAGGTTGGGTCAAGTCAAGATGTTGGGTTGAACCAAGGGGTTGTTGGGTCAAACCAAGACTTTGGGTCAAGCCAAGACATGGTTGGGTCAAGTAAAGAAATGGTTGGGTCAAGCTGAGCCATTGGGTTTGGCCAAGACCTCTTTGGGCAAGTCAAGACACGGTTGGGTCAAGTCAAGACATTGTTGGCCCAAGTCAAGACATTGAACCAAGAGGTTGTTGGGTCAAACCAAGACTTTGGGTCAAGCCAAGACATGGTTGGGTCAAGTAAAGAAATGGTTGGGTCAAGCTGAGCCATTGGGTTTGGCCAAGACCTCTTTGGGCAAGTCAAGACACGGTTGGGTCAAGTCAAGACATTGTTGGCCCAAGTCAAGACATTGAACCAAGAGGTTGTTGGGTCAAACCAAGACTTTGGGTCAAGCCAAGACATGGTTGGGTCAAGTAAAGAAATGGTTGGGTCAAGCTGAGCCATTGGGTTTGGCCAAGACCTCTTTGGGCAAGTCAAGACACGGTTGGGTCAAGTCAAGACATTGTTGGCCCAAGTCAAGACATTGAACCAAGAGGTTGTTGGGTCAAACCAAGACTTTGGGTCAAGCCAACACCTCAATGGGTCAAGCCAAGACATTGGATCAAGCCAAGACCTCATTGGGCCAAGACACGGTTGGGTCAAGCCAAGCCATTGGGTTGAACCAAGAGGTCATTGAGCTAAACCAAGACATTGGGTCAGGCCAAGACACGGTTGGGTCAATCCAAAACCTCATTGGGTCAAGCCAAAACATAGCTGGGTCAAGTCAAGGCATGGCTGGGTCAAGTCAAGACCTCATTGGGTCCAGCCAAGACCTTGTTGGGTCTTTCCAAGACCTTGGGCTCATCCAAGACCTCGTTGGGTCAAACCAAGCCCTCGTTGAATGCCCCCAAGTCGTTGAGTCAAATCAAGACCTTGTTGGGTCTTTCCAAGACCTTGGGCTCATCCAAGACCTCGTTGGGTCAAACCAAGCCCTCGTTGAATGCCCCCAAGTCATTGAGTCAAACCAAGACCTCATTGAGTCAAACCAAGACCTCGTTGGGTGAACCAACCCCCCCATGGGGTCCCCACCCCCCCAGCCCCGGGCGCGGGGGCGTTTTGGGGTCCCCCACTCACGTGCGCCAGGAACAGCATCATCTCGGCCTCGGCCAGGCGCCGCCCGATGCACTGGCGCGCGCCGAAGCCGAAGGCCAAGGCCTTGAAGGTGGTGTCGTCCTTGCCGAGCCAGCGCCGCGGGTCGTAGCGCTCGGGGTGCGGGAAGACGTCGGGGCAGCGCCCCATGGCGTACAGCGCCACCTGGCACAGCGTCTGCGGGGGCAGCGCCGGTCACCCACCGGGACCCCCCAAGACACCCCCAGGACCCCCCGGGACCCCCCGGGACCCCCCGGGACCCCCAGGAACGCCCCAGGACCCCCAGGAACCCCCAGGAACCCCGGCCCGGCGATGACCCCGCCAAGGCAACACGTCGCTGGGCCAAGGCAAGACTTTGGGTCAAGCCAAAACCTCGTTGGGTCGAGTCAAGGCATGGTTGGGTCAAGTCAAGACTTTGGGTCAAGCCAAGAACTCATTGGGTCAAGCCAAGAGCTTTTGGGTCAATCCAAGACCTCGTTGGGTCGAGTCAAGACCTTGTTGGGTCAAACAAATATTTTGGGTCAAGTTAAGACTTTGGGTCAAGCCAAGACTTTGTTGGGTCAAGCCAAGACCTCACTGGGCCAAATCAAGACCACGTTGGGTCAAGCCAAGACCTCATTGGGTCAATCCAAGACTTTGTTGGGTCAAGCCAAGACTTAGGATCAAGTCAAGACCTCATTAGGCCAAGCCAAAATCTCATTGGGTCAAGCCAAGACTTTGGGTGAAGCCAAGACCTCATTGGGTCAAGTCAAGACCTTGTTAGGTCAAGTTAAGACTTTGGGTCAAGCCAAGACTTCAGGTCAAGACCTTGTTGGGTCAAGCCATGACCTCATTGAGCCAAGCCAAAATTTCATTGGGTCAATCCAAGACCACGTTGGGTCAAGCCAAGACCACGTTGGGTCAAGCCAACACTTTGGGTCAATCCAAGACTTTGGGTCAATACAAGACCATGTTGGGTCAACCCAAGACCTTGTTGGGTCAATCCAAGACCTCAATGGGTCAAGCCAGGATTTTGGATCAATCCAAGACCACGTTGAGTCAAGTCGAGGCATGGTTGGGTCAAGTCAAGGCTTTGGGTCAATCCAAGACTTTGTTGGGCCAAGCCAAGACCTCGTTGGGTCAATCCAAAATCTCATTGGGTCAAGCCAAGACCTCAGGTCAATCCAAGACCACGTTGGGTCAATCCAAGACT